TACCTTGAAATAATTCCCAAAGTTTCAACTGTTTAAATGACCTTTTAGGGTCGATTTAAACACAGCCGTGCCGTATCCGTACCGTGCACGAAACAGAAACATCAGACAAGGATGGAGACAACATTAGACAAGGATGGAGACAATAGGTATCCTTGTCTGATGTTCTGTTTCGTGCACGGTACGGATACGGCACGGCTGTGTCTGAATCGACCCTTAACTGCCATAGCTTTCTGAGGATTATGACCATCAAAATGAAAATGTACAGCTAAGGAATTGGTCATCAATTGAGTCATAAGTTTTGACGTTGCAGTTTTTTCATTATTTCCCAAAGCCAAACTCTTCAAATAGTAGAACTGCAAGAAAGGAACCAAACAAAAAAAAATCAGTACTTATGAAACACATTACAGAGATATAGATGACGTTCTGATATTCATTTTCTGTATTTATTAAATAACCTAAAATTGGCCAAAACTTTAATTTAGAGCTTTTAGATAATGGAAGGCCATCCATATTGACATCAATAATAACTGAATTGTGAACATTTAAATATTCAGTAAGAAGCATATTATCAAGGTTTGCTTTTATACCCTTGTACCACAGTTGTGATCCATCAGGTAGCTGTTGAACACCTAAGATTGGAGGCGTTTGGAGTAAGGTTTTGTAACTTTTGGGTAAATTAGGAAACAATACCCTCAATCTAAGGAGTAAATTATTCAACTTCTTCATGGATAACACACCTCCTTCAAGAGCCCACTCTCTCAATGTTGCTAAAGCATAAAAACTTCTGTCTTCATCATTTTCAAATTGAATCATTAAGTCATTATCTTCATGATCACTACATCTGTTATTAACATCATCCATTTCAGCAATTCCATCACTGTCGCTGTTCTCATCTTCGAAATGTAATTCACTATCAACATCACTACCATTTATAGTGTTTTCATTTTCAAAAAGACTATTATTAGATGCCTCAGATCCTGCTGATAATATTCCTGATAATTCAGACCTATTTGTTTCTGAAGGAATATCTTCATTGTTGATCTCTGGAATAGGCATATGAATTTCTTCATTATCATCGGACGAAGTTTCTGCTTCGTAGACCGCGGTTATTCGTCTTCTTAAATCAGCCAGATTTGCTTCATTCTTACTTTGGCGAATTAAATCCTTGATAAATTTCTTCTGCGCATTTCTACGATACTTCGCATGTAAGAACAATATATAAAATAAATATTTATTACATAAAAACAATTAATATATAATAACATTAATATATGTATGCTGCTTATGTTGCATTTACAAGAATATAAAAATCTCGATAGTACGCAAATCATAAATAAATAATGGCAAAAGCAAGAAGTATAAGAATAGTGGAATTATTGATGATCGATAACATTTAACCTGCATAATAAGGTTATAAAGTAAAGCATATGAGAGCACACAACGTTTCCAATTAAATAAACTTGAACAAATATTTATTAACAAATTATGAACTACATGAAAATTATATTTCATAAGTTATTATTTATGAAGTAATCATAATTGTCTATAAACTCTTTAAGAACACAAAACAAGTAGAAAGCTATCGATTATCTGATGTCATTTTGACATTATAATAACCAATAATAACCAAATATTGATATTATGATAACATCAAACGACGATATAGTACAAATATATATGTAGAAAACGAGAATTCTTGAAGTTAAAAACAGATAAATGAGAAATAACACTATGAATAACTTACCGGTGGACTTTCACTCATTTTCGATAATTGATTGCTGACTTTATTAAATAGCACGACTCAGCACTCCCAGCAGTGATGCCAGACACGAAACACGGCTGCAGTATGCTGTGATATGACCTCGGCAGCCAAGCATGATCACGCACGATCACGTCAATTGCGCGCGACACACGATATCCAACGAACATAACCTTGCACTCGTCGCAGCACGCTCATTGGATATCGTGCGTCGCGGGCGATGTAATCGCATTGGTCGATCGAGGCTGACGCGGTCCCATATGAATTTATACACGTTATATAATTATAAAAATTTTACTATATGATAATTATTATAATAATTATATAATAAAAAAAATATTATAATAATATAGATTATAGCACATGTATACTTTTTCATATACATATATACAAGATGGACAAAATACGTTATTTTGTATCAACTCATGCTATATTTTGTCTACCCTGCATATGTATGTACATAATTTTCCTAATTTTATGTGTCGAAAAATATGAATGAGTTTATTTGTAATAAAAAAAGGAGGTAAAATCCTCATGTCCGTTTATTTATGGTAGATAGGAATTAAGACTCGTTTAATTTTTTAATATTTTATATTTCAATTTAAACCTATATATAATCGATCGAAGTTGTAAATGCTATCGACGTCTGATCGACGTCGATCTGATTTGCTACTTCGATCTGGGAAAGCTGTAGACGCCATCGACGTCTCATCGATGTCGATCCGATTTACCATTTCCCCCTGGGAAGTATTTCGGTGACTCGCGCGAAACGTCGGCGGATCGCGATCAACG